ATCCTCCCACGAGATGTCTGGGTAACTGAAGTCACCCATGACAACCATGGTCCTGGAGCATGCGGCCTCAGCCAGTTCCCGGGTGAACTCCTGGTCAAGCTCTTGACTTTGAGTGGGAGGTCTGTAGTAGACTCCCATCCTTGTGTCCCCTGCGCCGTGTTCCCCATGGATTTTTAACCCAGAGGGTCTCCAGTCATCCACCCTGGTCACCAACATCCGCTTGCAGGGATGCGTAGCTTTCCTTAACATAGAGAGCTACACCCCTGCCCCTTTTATCTACTTGATTCCTCCTGTACAGGGTATAGCCATCTAGACCTGTGGTCCAGTCATGGGTGGAGTTCCACCAGGTCTCGATATCCCTATGACCTTGTAATTATTTGCGTTAAGCAGGAGGAACTCGTCCTCCTGCTTATTCCCCAAGCTCCTGGCATTTGTGTACAGGCACACAAGTGTCCCCTTGGGGGCTCTTGCCTTGCCCACAGATTGTACCAGGGGTGGGCTCCCTTAAGTGCCTTGGCCTGCTGGCTTTGCAAGGGTTGCTCAGCGGGCCAGCAGTGGCGGTAGTCCCCCCGTCCCCCAGCGGGCTTAGTTTAAAGCCCGGTGGAGCAGGTCAGCCAGTCTGGCTGAGAAGAGCCTCCTCCCCAGCGGACAGAGGTGGAGGCCATCTCTTCCCAGCAGCTCGCTGCCTCTCTCGCCAAAGAGCAGACTGTGGTTGTGGAAGCCAAAGCCTTCCTGATGACACCAGCGCCACATTCTTTGGGTAACTACCTGGATCCTCCTCTCCCTCCTCAGCCCATACCCCAAGACTGGGAGGATCGAAGAAAACACCACCTGTGCCCCCAGACCCTTTAGCCCTGCTCCCAAGTCCCGGTAGTGCCTCATGACCAAGCTGGGAGCGCTCTGAGCCGTGTCATTGGTGCCCACATGAATAAGGAGCATGGGATAGTGGTCAGTGGGCTGGAGGAGCTTAGGGATCTTCTCCGCAATGTCTCAGATGCAGGCCCCCGGGACGCAACAGACTTCCCGGGCTAAGGGGTCGGGGCAGCAGGTTACCCCCTCAATCCCCCGCAGGATGGAGTCTCCCACGACAAACACTTTACATTTTTATCTTGGGGAGAGTGGGGCCGGTAGCTGCAGTTGGGCCTGTGTTGCCTGTGGGTGCTGGCAACACAGCAGGCTCTGCTGGGGCTGCATGAGGTTTGTACCTATTGCAAAGCTCCAGTGGGGCAGGGGCCTTGGTGCGGCAGACCTTGGGACCCTTGACCACCTTGTTCCATCCCCCTGACTAGACGGAATGGGAGGTGCCCGAGTCCTCCCTTGTCCTGGAGGGACACCGTGGTCTACCCTCTAGCTCCCAGGGGAGAAGGGCCTGGCAGTAGGAGTCTATCTCCTGCTCACAGTCCCTGATGGCACGTAGTCTCTGGACTGTGGCCTGAAGCTCCTCCAACTGGTGTGCCAGAGACATCCCAATGGCTTCAGCATAACAGGTATGAAAAAAAAAGTGAATGTCCATATCCTTTTAGGGAGAAGGAGCTTTTGGAGCTAGCCTGTAGTGCAAAAAGGTTTGCATTTTTTTACAGAGGCAGTAGCAGTTGAAATCAGTCAGAAAGCATTTGCCTTCTCTGCCAAAAGGAGGCAGTGAAAGACTGTAGTCAGCCACAAAACACTGCTTTTTCCATCATAAGAAGAACAGACACCTGGGAGACACTGGTTAGCAGTTTTAAAACTATAAAGTAGGTACCAAAGCAGAGGTACATCTTGTATTTCTCAACCTGGGGGGAAAAAAATGATGTAAAGTGGATCATGACCACCAGAGCAACAGTTTAAGATGAACACTGCAGGGGCATGGCAGGGAGAGGATACAGTTGCAGGTTTGCTGAGGCAATATGTTCATAGTTCCTATTAGGGCTATGTGAAGCTTCGGTCCCCGATTCAATTCAACGGAGATTCGGCCCAATTCGGCGGCCAAATCTCTGAATCCGAATCGAATCAGAGGACTATTTAATCTCTCCGAATTGAATCGGAGAGATTTGGAGATTTGGACATAGACACAGCTTTAAATGTTTTTTCTACATACCTCTAGGTAGGAGGGGCTCGTGAATGCTGCGATGGTGGGGCACATGGAGTAGCCCACAGGAGCATGGGGGCTCCCCCGCGTGCTCGGCAGCAGACCTGGAAGCAGACCAGTAGCACTTCCGGTCCACTTCCAGGTTCGCTGCTGAGCACATGGAGGGGCCCCTTGTGCTTCTGTAGGATGCTCCATGCACCCCAGCATCAGTGTTCACAAGCCACGCAGGTACCTTGAGGTATGTAGAAAAAACATTTAAAGCTGCATCTATGGCTAAATCAGCATCTAATCTTCAGATTCAGCCAAATCGAATCAGGGCCAGTGATCTAAATCAACTAATCGAATCACTGTCCCTGATTCGGGCCAAATCTGAATCAAATAGGGCCTACTTCACACACCCCTAGTTCCAATCTCTAATTCAGGGGCAGGTTTCCAGTCCTAGACAGTGTTTTTTCTGGAAAGGCACATAAATAGTAATGCCTAAGTTATTACAGCTAAATACATTATATAGGATTGTAATGTTGAAAAATCTGAGAGATCAGAGACCTCTAGCAGTAGGCTCAGATGAATAAAGTCCTCTGTGCTTGTCAGATATGATGTAAATGCAGCACAAGTCAAGGAAAACGGTCCCTTGAAGCAAAGAAACAAAGGCTTTTTGAAACAAAATTGTCACAGATTGATTCTCATTCACCAGATACAACTATACCAGAAGATGCCTAAATGGGCAGCTGTGCATGCTAAATATATTTTGTGGATGTGTCATTCCCAATGTTGTACTATTAGATAATCAGTGGTATTCTCTTAGCATCCAGTTCAAGTACTTTGTAGTAGAGATTAGATGTAGATGCAAGCCCCTTTACCCCAGTGCAACAGGTTGGTTAAATATAGGTATTAAATAATGAAGTGACAACTATACTCCGATCCACATTTGCTTCAATAAATTAAATGACAGAGCCAATGACAGTTTTCCACATGTAGGCCTCTTGTTAAACCCAAGAGAGAGGCCCAGAATGCCTCAGCTTGAAACCTGTTATCAGACACATGGGATTTGCAGCAGCATGAAGAAATGAATACAGACACACACACACACACACACACACACACAGAGAAACCCAAAGGATTTAGTGTTTCAGAAGATGCCAGTAATTCCTAAATAGGATGCGCAATCCATTCCCGGTGGAACTTATGTGATGCCACTGCCGTATGCTTGTAACCATAAGGTTGCCTGGTGATTTTATGAGCTCTTCACTCCAGACAAATACACACAGGTGAGGAGCAGATGACAGCTTTTATGACTTGAAGGGAGGGGGAGAGGAAAAAGGTCTGGAGTCTGCAGTGAGCTGGGGAAGGCTGTCAGAAAATAAAGACAAGGGATAACAACCAAACTCCTGAACATAGCTCTGCCAGTTCTGCCATGCAAACAAGAGTATGGCCTCTTGAGTAGCATCATTTTGATATTGCAAGGGAGGACCCAGTTCCTAAGAGCTGCACCATGCCAAATGAAGGCATGGGCATACCTCTCCATAGCTAAGCTCCATACACAGGAAGCCTGGGAACGGGGCTCTGCTGAGGCTCCTGCTTTGTGCAGCCGAGAGGGGTGGAACTACATCAGCAATTGAGGAGACTCCCTTGCACATACTGGATTCCCAAAGGACTGCAGACCACCACCGTTCCTGCTCCAGAGGTCCTGCAAGTGCATATGGGGGAGGCAGAAGCCAGCAGGGTTAGATTCCTGTTGTACAGTTGAGTAGGAGAGGATTGGCTGGCCAGTTCCTTACACACACGGGACAGTAAAAGGCACTGCCACACAATGGGGCAGAACCTAGCCCCACCTGAAGCCTGGAGTACACACAAGGATGCCTACGTACGTGCACCTCAGCAGGTCTGCTTGCACACAACAGGCCTGTGCACTGTGGCCTGTGCCTTCAGTCTTACGTTCACAGAACGCAGCCAAACCCCACTGTACAAATATACGCACACATCACAGTACACCTGTTTGGACACAAGTGCACAATTGCACTTCTGCAAAGATAACAGAAGCCTCCATAGCTACACACACACACCCCTCATGCACATGTACCTTTCCTGCTCACTCTCCCTTGCTCGCTCCCATGCTGCCCTGGGGCCGAGGCTGCGTGCAGAGGCAGCAGAGCTCAGGCTGTGGACACTTACACTTGAGACCTCTTCCACCCATAGTGACAGCCTCCCCAGCTGCTTCCTTTGATTAGCTTTCTGCTCCTCTGCACTTGCACCCATGAGCTCTACCAGGTGGTGCCCACACAGAGCCAACTGCATAACTCCTGGCTGGGAATGGAGACACCACAAGGCCAGAGCCACTCACTCCAACACATCGCGCTCTGCTGAACGGGCATGAATGCTGCCCTAAGGATGGTCAATTGAGTAGTCTGGGTGCTCCCCTGCCAAGAGAGGACACTCCCCACCCCTCCTCCCAGTGCTCAGAGCAGGTCATCCAGGCCCCTCTCTCCTTCACAAGGGGTCACACATAGGGCCACCTCAGCTCCCCCAGGTGGGAAGAGACCAGGCTCCCTGTGCTCTCCAGTCAACACATCCAGGTGCTGTTTCTGCAGGGCTGGGATCCTGAGCAATCTTCCCCTAGCAGCACAATCCCCAGGGGCTGCCTACACAAGCACCCAGCCCAGCTCTGGCCATACCACAGCTCTGCATGAAAAGCATCTTCTGCTGCATCCAGTCCCTGGGGAAGCACCTTCTTGGTTCCTTAGGGGGAACACCTGGGGCTGTCCAGCAGCAAGGCCAGGGCATGCCCGCAGCCCCTTACCCCACCCACACCCCAACCCCACTGGCCAGGGCAGAAAGCTCCCGTGGTTGATTGCTCTGCAGAGCTGTCTGTCATCCCTTCCCCGCCCTAGGCAGACATCATCAAGGTACATAAGGTCCCAGCTGGGGCTGGTGTTTGTGCTGCTGTGTGGAGAGTAAGTAGGGTAAGAGTTGGGCTGGAAATGTTTGTGGGGTGTGCTCTTAGGTTCTGGCTGGTGGCTGTTGTAGGTTTGGTGGTTGTGTCCTCAGCCTGGCTGTGTACCTTGTGTTTTCCCTGTGCTGTGTTGGTCTTTATGCTCTAAAAAGTCCTTATTGTCACTGCCTAGTGCAGGAGTGATTCTTCTAGGAAAGGCCTGTCCTGCTTCTCTCCCAAGTAGGGAGCGCTTGCTAGTCTGGGTGATAGGGTTCTTCAGTGGAAGGAGATTCTCCAGTGTCCCTCTCTCCTCATTTAACATGAACTAAACTTTCCAGGGTACAAAACTACCACTTTGATTGTAGTTTCTGCCTCCTCTACCTGCAAGTAAAGGAAATGCAAGTTTCCATTGCAAAACTTCCTTTCTCTGACCAGAGAGGCTGCTTTGGGATCCCTGCTCCCTATGCAGACAGCAGAAGCAAATGCTGTTAATTAAGCTCAAATTGTCCCACCCTGGGGTCTTGACTCTCCATGTGAGTGCCCTCTAGAGAGGTGCCAAAATGGGATAACCTTAAGTTGGGGGGGGTCAATGGGATGCCTAAAACATACACCCTATCTCCATGCTCATTTGGTTGGGCAGTGTGTGTGTGTGTGGCATAGGGAAAGCAGAGTGCTGCAGGAAGCCAAAGGACCTGTGCCCCTCTGCTGCAGAGCACTGCTGTTGTGTTCAGTATGGGGCCTGTGATGCTTCCCAAAGGGCAGGCATGGCTGCACATCTGAAGAATACTGAATTGTTGTGTTTCTGAACAGATGGTTGTTGTAGTTTGGCTTTCACTTGAGAGTTGGATTGGTTCAGGTGCACTTCAGAACATGCCTGAGAGTTCTTGCATGTGTCCAAGTGTGAGAGGCCATTGCTTGAACAGGCTGACTGGATGTAGGTTGAAGCCCACATGACCTGTCCAAGCATCTTGGGGGGGGACTGCTTTGCTTCTGCTGCAATGTCTTACTGGCTGCTTGTGCCAATGCTGTGGCCATGAGGGGGGCTGTACCCAAGGAAGCCTCCTATTAATGGTGAAGGTGGCCCCCCTGGAGCCAGGGGGAGCTGCCAGTAAACTGGCTCCATCCATCACTCCAGCCTTAGGGTGTGTGGCTGGTCCCTCCTTTTGCTGGTGTGTGTGGACCCAACCCCCACCAAAATAGGGGAACAATATAGTCTCTGACCATCTGACTTTGCCCTTGCACCCATTTGGCAGGATGCTGTCCTTGAGCTTCTCCATGTGGGGCTTATGATTAACCTGGCTCTAGGGCTTGGATGGATGCAGACACCTGCTTACCAATGTGGCAGCGGCCCAGGCACATGGCCCAGGACCCTGGTGTGCCTGGGTTAAGTCCAAGTACTTGGGTAGAGTGGTTCTTCTATGCCTCATGCATGATCAAGGTTTCCCTGCCCCTAGCAGAGTGCATGTGCACAGGATGGCTCTTTCC